TACACATTTTTCATTATATACATAAATAAAAAAATTTTCTTACTTTCGGTATGAATATTACCTTAAAATTTAAAATTTGAGTCGAATACAAGTTGAACAATAATCAGGTCAGGTTGAACAACAATCAGGTCGAGTCGAATTCGGGTCCTGTAAATATTAATGGGTTCGAGTTCGAGTTTGCTTCAAACCTGACCTGACCTGACCCTTATGGAGCACTACCACTACTGACCATGATGATAACTTTGTATCATAAAGGTAAATTTGGTTAATATCTACAACAGCAAGAACAAGAATACCATCGATATTTTCACGACCTCCAATATATATTATAACACCATCTAATAATAATGTTGCAGTATAATCAGTATATGGTGTTGGAGCATTGACAATAGGACCATATGACTATGTTAAATCAACAGTATATAGTATTGCCATATCATTAATATTTGAAAATCATTTGATCCTATATATTTATCAGCAATTTCACCAATAACATAAATATTCCCAAAATTGTCAGCAACAGCTTGAATTTCTCTACGTCGTGCTGGAACATTTCCTTTCATTACATGCATGATCCATTGTCCTAATTTTAGATTAAATTCATATACTAGAGAAATAAATGAATCCTCATTATTTTGATTTCGTATTATTCCACCAATTAGGTAAATAGTCAGATTATTATTATTATTAGTTAGTACGGTAGAAGCATAACAACTTTTGAATCCAATTCCTGAATTTAATGTAAGGTCGGTCCATGGTGGGTTCTCTGCATTAAATTGTTTAGATATATCAACTTCATTTGAATCACCATTAGCCACTCCGCTAAAAATATAAAGTTTATTACCAACAAGGATAGTAGAATGAGCATAACGTCCTAAAGGAGTATATGTTTCAACTCTAAAGAACAGGTAGCTTAAAATGAAGAAATGAAAAAGACAACTCATAATTTCAATTGTAAAATAATTATCATTTCTTTTTTAAATAAAAAAAATTTAATTGATGCATATAAACAATCTTTTATTCCTGTAATACCGCATAATGATTACTCGTGTGACTTGCTACTGCATTTCATGTAATAACGATCATTTTGTTCGCAATAAATCTTTTTGATATATTAAAAATAAATGTTCTGTTTCTTTCACCATCATTACTGAAGGTTAAATAATTATACATCAAGCTAACTGCTAAGATATAAATCCAAGAGCAGATGATAATAGTCTTTTTATGGTTCTTTTTTTTATTTGTTTGGTGACACATGATTGCATAATCATGACACTCACATTGCCTTGTATTTCGGACAATAAAATGTAATCTTTAAGATCGTCGCTAGACAACCTTTTTTCATTATATGTACTATTTTAATACTTTGTATTTCTATTTATCTTTAATAATTAATAAACTCATTAAAAAAGTACTGCATCAAAAAAAAAATTGGACAACCTATCCTATGAATTTAAATGAGACGGAAAGCTAGGCTTGGAAAGTTATTATCTGCCGCGCTTTCTACTTACAGTCTGAAACAAAAAAAAACTTAATTATAAAATTGCATATTACGCATCAACCAATGATAATTTGAAGCTGAAAACTAGCTTATTAATTTACATTTTTTTTTGCTTGAAATGTGACCATTAGTTTCTATAATATGTTTGAATCAGACGTTTCATTGATCAAACTAACTCAATTAGAATTGATAATGGAATATCATTCTACACTTTGACAATAAATCGCCAATATTTTTTGATATTTTTTTCTACACATTTCTTTTAACGATACCCTAAATACTTTTATGGGATTTAAGTCAGGGCTGTTAGAAGCAATTCAATAACTTGAAGATTTAGCATGTATATTCTTGATGCGATTTTTTGCATTTCCTTCGAATTGTTTGTTTTTAAGGTTATCATAAATTGTGTTGAGGGTATATTAGTCCGATCATGGATCTCTTTAGCATTCATAATGACCTGATAGTTGTAAAGTTTGATGATTGGTTTCTTGTCTGGAGGTCATGATTCTAATTAATATTTTTTTCAAAGAATTTTTGAAAGGTCCAAGTTAGTGATAGCGAAAAAGATTATAATAATTTCTATTATTTTCAGTGTAAAATAAAGAGTAATTATACTTTCTTACCTAAAAATCATATTCCATTTTACAATATTTGGATTGACCTTAATCTTATCAATTTATACGCAGTATCATTCTGTGGAAAATTTTCCAGTTTAGACTGTTTAGACTGTTCACTGCGCCATCCAATTTTAGCAAATCAATATGTAATTTCATAATTTAATGGTTGAACTATATAAATTACTCAATAGAAAATTCATTCTCCATAAATTTTTATCTCCCAAAATTGTTTTTCAATAAATAATCAAATGTTCACTTTAATATATCGTGATAAAGTACACCCATACATATGGAAGCATGCTCAAAAATATTTCTTTATACAATCCCGAAAATTACTTTAATAGTAAATAAAATCTCAATCGTAAACGGACGACAAAAAAAGATAACCACTGAAATATAGCCTGTATATTCGTTAAGATAAATCTATCCCATTCAAAAATATTTCCAATAAAATAACACAAAAAGGAGTACAGCTCCATTGATCAACTATTTTAAGTATATAACAAGAGCTGGATATAAATAAAGTCTAACAAAAACCACACCAATATTTACAAGGAAATGCTGTTGAATGGACAATGATTTATTTACAGACAAAACAACAATTCAACGAAGATGTAAGGCCAGTTATATTAATGCCAAAAAGTCGAACTACAAGTCGTTAGAATTTTGTGTAAAGGATCAACATCTTTATTTTGTTTACAAATGATAATGACAGGTAATTTTTATGTGGAAATTCTACAGAGACAAGAATTAAGTATTCAAAATTATTATTTGTAGTTTTTAAATTAAATTAAAAAAAGAAAATGTGCAAATGATCAATATTTTATTTTTGGCGAAAAATAATTATTTATTAAGAAATGAAAAATTAATTTGTTTTTTTATTTAATAAGAAAAATGCCTTCTGTTATCTCGACTAGTGCTCCGTAAGGGTCGGGTTGGGTCTGGTTTGAAGCAAACTCGAACTCGAACCCGTTAATATTTACAGGACCCGAATTCAACTTAACCCGATTGTTGTTCAACCTGACCCAATTATTGTTCAACTCATATTCGACTCAAATTTTAAATTTTAAAGTAATATTCATACAGAAAGTAAGAAAATTTTTTTATTTATGTATATAATGAAAAATGTGTATTAAATTTGAAAAATTTTATTTTTAAAGTT